GTTTGTGGCTTTCCCCCCCTTTTTTAGTATTTCTATTCTTTCTGTGTTGGTTTCCCAAAGGTCCATCTGGAGTTGTGGCAACTGAAGTGGGAGCAGCCCCTGTCTCTTCAGCGAGTTCCCGGGATGGCGTCGCTGTGGCCGTGCCTACCCCATATCCCCGGCCACGCATTCCCCAGGGCGCTTGTGCAGCCTTAGTGCCCGTGCTGGTCATTCAGGTGTCTCTGTTTTATTTCTATTCTTTCTGTGTTGGTTTCCCAAAGGTCCATCTGGAGTTGTGGCAACTGAAGTGGGAGCAGCCCCTGTCTCTTCAGCGAGTTCCCGGGATGGCGTCGCTGTGGCCGTGCCTACCCCATATCCCCGGCCACGCATTCCCCAGGGCGCTTGTGCAGCCTTAGTGCCCGTGCTGGTCATTCAGGTGTCTCTGTTTCTCCACACAGTCCTGGTGTTAGAAGTGTTAATGCACGATGTATTTGAGCCCCTCTCACGGCTCCTGGAAGAAGCCGGTTGCTTTAGGGAAGAAGGCGAAGCAAGGTTGCCCCCTTCCTTCGGCAGCCTCGAGCTCTCCTGTGCTGCTCCCGCCTTTCCCGATCACATTCCCTTCCCTTTCCTGCAACCAAGAACTCTCCCAAGCCACGCACAGCTTTTCCCCACCCACTGGACGTGCTGCAAGCACCACTTTTGCATCCGTTTTCCTTCACTGTTCAGTCAGGGATCTGCCCCAGGGTATTTCTGTGCTGTGAGGGTGGAGGTAGATCGGAGGATGGGTCTTTGTCGGTGCTTTCGCTTGGGTTTGAGTGCCCGTGACCCTGTCTTCTTGCTGCAACGTAGCAGCGCTGCCCCTTTGGCACCTGTTACACTAGGCTGCTGCCTTGTAGGTGTCACAGCCTGGCTCTTGTCCAGACCTTCCTTACAGCCTTTTCAGACCAATTCTTGGAAAAAAACCACATCACTTGTTTTTGTCTTTAGTTTGATAAACACTGTAATTTCCCTGAACAAGAATTTCTCCAGATAAGCAAGCTGAAAAACATTTTTTTTTCTTTCAAAATTCCATCACTGGCTTATGCCTCCATCCGTTATATCCCTCACTATCATTTCTTTGCAGCTCCAGTTTTCACTTTTCTGATGGTCAGCATCAGAGCTTCTGAGCAATGCTGTTTGCAAGTGCAGAACCTGCAGGGCTCTGCCTTATTCTAGGCAGGGAGCTGACAGGTATTGGTGTTTTTCTCACTTGTGCATGTCAGATGCAAGGAGAAAACACTGGGTGAAAGGCAGGGATACCAGTACGTTCTCCCTCCCTGCTCGCGCGGCACATGGGGGAAATGAGATAGGAACAGGAATGGGTGGAGCAGAGTCATGCAAGCAATGGATGTGTCCCATGGGGTTAGCGAGCCGGACCAAGGCGGGAAGCCTCATCCGGCTGCATGGTCCCCGGCCCCTTTGGAGTCTTCCCTATCGGGCTCACACCCGAAGGGGAGAAGGATCCATCTGCCTCGGAACTGGACGAAGTGCTTCCCCCTGCAGCTCAGCTCGCCTCCCCCACCCCGCTTACTGGAAATGGCACCGCTTAAGAAGAAAACTGCTTAGATGATACAGCTAGCACATACACGATCCAGCTTTTCATTGTGGAGCCCTGACCGCACTTCACCACTTTACTTCCCTTGCCCGTTTTAAAATAGGCTATTCTTCCCCAAAATGCAGAAGTGAATTCAAGTTCAGATTCCCTCCGGGTCCCCCAGTGAGATACCGAATCTCCACATACACAAGCACACGAACACACTGCACATTCAGCCCTCTAAAAGGTACCTTGAAGTTTCCTTGCCCCTCGTGAGCCCAGGGCATGTTCCTGTTTGGGGAATCCTGCTGGGCCGCTGGATGGAGGGGAACAGACCAGCGCTGTTTGGGGAAGAGCCCCCTGCAACTGGAGCAGGACAGGGCCATTTTGTTCTAGACACATGAAACCTTAACCCTGTCCAGCGCTCACTTTTATTGACACAATGGGCCAAATTCAGAGAAGAAATGAAAAACAGAGACTGGAGGATGGAGTGGAAGTACCATGCTGCTGGAAGCGATCCTAAAGTTTGCATTAGAGGGGCTAGAATTTTCTTAAGGCGCTAATCAGCGTACACAAAAGTTACAGTTACTTCTCTGTTAAGAGGAGTAAGGTCAGTAGAAGTGTGTCCCCCCATCAGCCTTGGGCAATATCAGAACAGAGCATATAGAAACTATACCACAAAGTTAAAACATTTATTAGAACAAGAGGACTATTACAAAAAGATACACATATTCTAAATATATACATGAGGTTTAAACATAGGATTTCCATGTAACTATAAAAATACATTAGATTAACTGTATCCTAATTTATAAATATAGTTCTTTTCTTAAAAAAAAAAAGTAGTATTTCATATGAAAGCCTTACTGTGCAATGAAGGAATATATACCCTCTAAGGGGTTACTTTAAAGTTAGTGTCTAGTGTTATATAACTTAGAAAATTCAGTGTGTAGAGTCAAACCCTGATTTATACAATAAGAGATACATTGACTTTTTTTAAACTTGATAGGGAAAAAAAGAGGTGAAATATACATTATACATATAAAGGCAAAATACTAGGATTTTAAGAGTTCCAGATTATTTCAATTTCAACTGTTGTTTATCAGAAATGAATATAGAAGCTACATCAAAATAACCAGCCTTTTACTATTTGCCTCACTCCCTATTGTCTGACTGCAGCCCTAGAAAACCATGAGCTAGGCAAAAGTAAAACATTTGTCTGAAGATGTTTGCACTCTAAGTGTATTACAAAAATAGAAAGTTATTTACAATTTACCCATTTGGCCTTCCATGGGGTAGGGAGGACATTTTCATCACTGGATGGGGAGATTGGCCTGCGGCAGCCCCATCCCGTGTATCCGTGGGCGGACAGGCACCTAGGTATGCACAGCTCTTGCAGGGAGGGCGTTTGAGAAATTAGCGGTGTCCAAGTGCAATTTTAATGTTCACTAATGAGGAAGTTTAGGCCCGTGCAGATGTTCTCCTTATTCATCACCACTCACCTTCCTTCCCTCTAAAAAAGAGGTCCACACATGCAATAGCACTTGTACTGACCGGATACATCTCCGATGAAGGGAAGCTGCTGGTTAAATCCTTGCTTGGTTCAGAGAATAGAGACATAACCTGCATTTCTGCTTCGAGCCCTGACATCTGGAAGGCTCCAAGCAATGATCTATGCCAGGGCTCTGTAGAGACCTGTAGATACTCACTAAGGAACATGCCTCAGGTTGCTCTTGGAGGACTAACCCAATGGGGTCAGCTGAAGTTCCTCACCAGCTGACACCACTAATTTCCACCAACTTACAGCCCAGAGATGGAGCTTCCCATGGGTTTTTCCAGTGGTTCTTCAGGAGAGGATCAGGGTGGGTGAAGGAACTTAGGAACCAAACACAGCATGTGGCTTTTCATTAAGCTTGAAGTAAGCAATGTCTGGGCATGCAAAGAAGTTACTGCAGGATATACCAGGGTATGAAATTGAGGGTGACAGCCGCTCCATGCATGCTATTTGTGTGCATGCATATACAGCTGTAAACAAGAACAAATTTAAGGTAATTTTTCTCTCAGTGAAGATTCACCTTCTCTCTGCTTGCCACAAGATGACGGCACTCACAGGGCTAATTACTGCACAGCTGCTGACACCTTTAAGTCCAGCCATAGGTAACTGGTTTGTACACCCACATCTTTAGCATTGAGAATGTGCTCGGGAGCACCTGCCTTTTCATCCCGCACTTTCAGAAATCTATTCTAAGCTACATTCATAAGGGAGAAAGAAGCACAGAGGATAAATTTTGAGTTATTATGTGAGTTTTACTCACATAATTAGCTCTGGCTCAAAAATGAGGAGATGTCCTCACAGTCTGAAAATGACAGAGAAAGAGAGAGCAAGGCAGCTTCCTGCAGCTCTTTTGCTCCTTCCTGCCCAAATCTGAAAGACTGGCTTGGGTCTTGGTACCCAGGATGTTTTCCAAGGGTCTCCACCATGCTACATGCTTAGCGTTCAATTTTGTGTCATCACAGTAAGTACAGTGCAAAATCCTCTTGCAGAAAGTGCTGTAGTGAAGCTTTGAGACACTGTTGTGACTCATTTGGAGCCAGAGGGGCTAGCAACTCAATAGATCACATTTGTAGCACGCGTGTGCATGTACACCAAAACATCTAGTTCAAAGGACACCTTAAGCTCTAGCTATGCTGGGTGAAATACTGGCCCCAAAGCAGTCGTCTAAGAAACTCCCACAATTTCATTCAGGGCTAGAATATCACCAGTATGGGGGATCCGTGCATCTTTAGAGAGACCAAGAGAGCTCTTTCAAACAGAGTTGCTTTACAGAACCTTCCGTGAAAACTTGCACTCCCATCCAAAACTCTGACTGCAGTCGTCAACTGTGTCAACTCCAAACTCTGTCGCTTCAGTTATCCTGGCCCTACCGCTCAAGTCCAGGTGCGCCAGCGAAGCCCGCTGGCCTCTGAAGGTGTTCACCAATGCACACTAATGGCACCAGAAGTCACCCTAACATGCCATTGATATCCAAGTCCTTCAGGGGCGCAGCCTGAAAAGCAGATGTCCTGCAGACAGTGGCCAGTATTTCAAGCACTGGTAGCACCCACATACACAGCAGGGACTTGCGTAGTCCAAGAGTGTGCTGTGCTGCCAGGAGGGTCAGTTAAATCAGCGTTTGAAGAGCCAGGTGACAAAATGGAGTCCAGGAGATTCAGTGTTTCTAGAGGAATAAGGTAAAATGTGTCTCCAAAACAAGGGCTGTTTCCATTTTCCTTCCTACCCCTTCCCTCCCCCTTGCTCTGAACACGTCCCCCATGTGTCACATTCAGAGTGTCAGCACTTTTAGGCCTTCTGCTTTCACGGACTCTTCTGGGAGAGTTTAATGGTGACCGTCTTCACTTCAGTATATTCTGCCAGAGCATATTCACCACTGCAAAAGAAGGGAGAGGAGGGAAAGGGACAAACAGTTGTAGCTTGTTAATATAGATCGCCCTAAAATAAGAGGCTTCCACACAAGTGGAACTTAGTCACAGATCAACAGCTGCTGTAAACAATATCAGACCATTTAAAACCAGATCTGGACTAACATACTCCAGCTATCATTTTAGCCCAATGTATCTAATTATCACTGTGTACATGCACACATATACATATACTAATACACTCTGCCTGGCATGAAGGAAACACTGATGCTCCTGGCCACAGTAACCTGCATGATGATGCTAGTGAAAATTGAGTAGCATTGTGAGATCCTGTAGAAACATCCCATGAATAGAGTTATTGGTGATGACACAGTAATTATAGGTATTCCTTCATAGGAAATAAGCTTCTGTCTACAAGATACCAAATATCAGGGGGGCAAAGTGGGCTCTATTATTCAGCCTAGAAAGTTGCATTGCTCCAAAAATGCCAAGTGATGTCAGACCAAATCACTGCATTAGGTCTTAGTTGTTGGGAACTGGCACCCTTCCCATGCCTTGCCCAAGGGACAACCCCCTGACATCCTTTAATTAGTCAGGCAATCAGGCAGACTAAAGCATAAGGTCTCAACATGTATATCCCTTGTGAGGATTCATTCATTTGCTGTGCTGAGTATGCGAGGCATCTGAATGTCTCGAAGCAGCCCACAGATAAACCAGAGCAGCTCCTGGAAACTGCTCCTGGAAATACATCTGCTTATGAAAGAAGTGCATTCGATTCCTCTGAAGAGTTTTCCAAGTGATGTAATAGAACCTGCCTCTCTGCTGTAGAACAAAATTAAGATTTAAACCTATTTTTCAACTTTTCCTCTAGCTTACAGGATGACCTGCTTTTCCAATTATTATATGGAATGTCTGGTGGCCATGCTGCAACAGATCAGGCTGCGGAGGAGGGCTCGAGAGTCCTTCTCTAACTCAATAGCAAACCTGGAACATGGGAGGAGGAATGAGCTTGGAGATTGTTCTTTTAGCTCCACCTTGAGAAAATCAGGGTTCATAAGAGATCCAGACAGGATCAGTGATAGGGCTGTCAAGTGAGATGCAGCTAGCGGGATGCTGCATAAAGGTGCAGAGCTGAGGTGGGGATGAGCAGCCCCAGGCTGGGGTGTCACTCCTCTTCCTCAATCTGAAAATTTAATGAAGGAAAAATGCAAGTGGAATTGACTGAACTGTGAGTGTTTAAGAGTTTATAAAATAGATGAAAGACTCCCAAAGGCACCACTCATGTTCTCAAATCTGTGCTTTACATCCATGCTGTACTGCAGCGAATGTCCTAGCACCTCTCTGTGCAACAAGTTTCAAGCCTGATGGTTTAAAAGCAAATTCAACATTATTCTCATCACGTCACAACTGTTACTGTACCTATCACCACATATAAACAAAATATTGAGCAAACTTACAGCTCTCTGCCATTGCCTGACATTTTAAAGCCACCAAAAGGAGCCTGTGCATACAGCGCATTGTAACAGTTGATCCTGTAATAAAAATATCAATTGTCAAAGACAAGAAAAAACAAGATAATGACAAAAATAACACTAAGAGAGGCTGATATCTGTCATTTTTTCCACAGTTTGATCACTTAAGAAATTAGATTTTAGCAAAAAAATATATTATTATGCTACAGAAATGAAAAACATTTGAGTGATATTCAGAATCTGACTCCTGTCTCACTTCCCAATCCCTAATAGCCAAGTCATTCATGCTTGAGCTGGAATTGATGCTATGTTCTGAGTCATTCTTAGATATAACAGAAAGCCCAACCTACTCCCTAGTTTAAACAGAAACAGATTCCAAAGTGTCCAGGTTCACCAGAAGGCCAAGTAACAGTCATAAGCAGACCCCACTTTCCAATTGCGGGTAGACAAAAACAGTTGGACTGTATCAGAGCTGGACTGTGGTAAACACTGAATTGCTAGAGCTGACACTTCCTCAGCATCCTGGTGAGATCACATGGCTGAAGCAGGCCAGGGGTGGCTTGATGCAGCGGCTTGTTGCAACCGATGCAACTTCAGGTACAGCACATGTAGCCTTCAAAGCCCAACATCCTATCTTTTATGTAAATATTATCTGAACAGACAGATTTTCCTGGTGCCAGCTCTTAAAACTGATCCTAGGTACACACCCAAATCAGATCAAATTCCCATCTTCAGTGGAAAAAAGAGAAGATTCCATTTTTGTCTTTAAACCAATACCAATATATTATATGTTTGCGAGCAAAAATATCTACTTGTGTTCAAGACAGTGATGTGATGCCATCTACTGCCCATACTGATTTGTGCAAGGTCTAAGAGCTGATCTAATGCTACCTAAAGATAATCAAAATTGCATTTTTCTGAATACTATGGACTTTGGAGGCTATCATGTTTAGTGAAACTTGGTAAAGTCCCCTATCAAATTCAAAATTTTGCAGAGGAAAAACTACCCTGACTGAATGAACAGTCCATTTCTCTCCAGACTGCCTGGCCTTCTCACCAGCTGATTTTGATGAATGCATGATGCTTCTGCGCAGAATATCAAGAATTAAAACAGCCAACTAATGCACCAGACCTCCAGCATTTAGACAGGCTTCTACATTAGAGATCCCTTTTCCCCTCCCAGCAAAAATACACAACCCAGCTCGCACTCAGGTCACACACTGCTTACCAGACAGTTCCTGACTGCAATGCAGAAGCTAATGTTAATGCTCTGTCCAGATTCTTTGTGAACACAGCGGCCGTGAGTCCATATTCAGTACTGTTGGCTCTTCTTATGACCTCTTCTATACTCTTGAACTTCATAATTGGCTGAACTGGTCCAAAAATCTGTACATTTCAATTAAACATTAGTACACGAAAGTCTTTACTACTTGCACTAGTTTTAAGTAATTAGAATCAAAAGCTCTGCTTGGATACTGCATCTGAAATGTTAGAACAATCCTAATATCCTCCAGAAATCACTGATAGAGTCTCTTGGGAACTACCAATGAAACTGTCTTCAAAGGAAGTACAGTGATATTCTGTAAATGCAAAGATCCAGCAACTAAGCTGTTTTCTTCAGATTCTAAAGGCTTTGTAATCTACATGCAGAGTCATCTATAACAATCAAAATGAGCAGAGGTTTCAAATGATTCATTCCTTCTACATTTACAAGTCATTCTCCTTTTGGACTCACTAGTAGAGTATACCCAAGAAGTAATTAATAAATTTCCGTTTTTGCAAGTGCTCAGGTTTATTTTTGCTGTTGTAAGTGTAGGCAGTTTATTTGCATTCGGTGCAAATGCTGTGTATGTGCTTCCCCACAAACTTGGCATCCTGGCTGCCAATATAAAGGCATCCTGCACACACAGTGCTTTGTGATTTCTGGCACAGAGTCTCTCATCAAGTCTAGTACCAAAGGCAGGGCAGTTTTCTGGCCTGTGTGGTCTTGCAGGGAAAAAAAGCTGAACCTGAGATGCAGTCTCACCTGTGCCACCTTGAGCCACTCAGGAATTTGCATGGCCTTTAAGGCTTATGCAGGTGTCTCAAAATTCCTTCATTTTAGAAGGTCCAGGTAATTATATGGAGTCTTGCTCCTAGGCAAAGTAAGAATGTGCATTTCCAACAAAATTGCAAATGAATGAAACTGGATGAGGCTCATGAATCATGACTCGGGATTTGGAGACAGTTCATTAAAAAAAGAAAAAAAAAAAAAGACCTGTCATGGGATTTTCAGTTTTTATTCCCTCTATTTTTAGAATGTAACTCATGCTCAGACTCACGGATATCTTTCCCAGGTTCCTTAGAGACTCTGTGGCAGATCTGAGACATCTAAACATTTTGCCAGGAGTGAAGAGTAAGCAGCCCCATAAAAAGTGCTGGGCTAAACTATAAAATACAAGTGCCAGCTGGACCTTGGCAACTACTTATTTTCCATTGGGGAATATGATGAAAAGTAGATTAACTATATTTCAAAGGAACATCACAAGATCTAATCACATGCAGCTTGTTCAATTTTTCTCCATATGAATAATGAAAGCCAGAGTATTAGATCTGCACTTTGCTGGTTTTGGCCATATTTTCATGCTGGAAAATATGGTCGGCCTCGGGAGATTTCAGCACGAGAACAGAATCTGGGATTATTTCAGATGCTAACACTACTTGGGAAAAGATTTTTGATTGCGATAGAGCAGGGTTCATTACTTCCCTACTCACTAGCTTTAGGTCCCAGCATTCTGGTCCCACCTTTCTGCAACTCTCTTTTACAAAACGGTGGAGCAAAAACCTCCACCCTCCCGGACTCGCAGTCTGAATGAGCAAGGACATTAACGGGGCCGTTTCATGTCTCTAAGAGCACTTGGCATGCACAAACATCAGCCTGTTTAGAGCGCAAGAACCCAGCTCTGTCTCAAAAACCTCTCAAGCTATGGGGCAGAAAAACAAAGACATAGAATTGCTCCAGCCTGCAACAGTTTCAGTTATTTCTTTAAAACTTCCAGACCACAGATTCGTTCAGAAATCCCTCCAACACTACTATTTGCTATTCAGAAGCAGTATTTATAGCAGCCATGTCTAGGTAAGGCATATGCTTATATTTTGCATTATATCAAATTCTCCCAAAAAGGGACCCAAATGCTTTAGGACAGTATTATCCACTATGTTAATATCTGGGTTTGTTACTGTATGGTGAGCAAACTCACAGGGCTATTTCTCTTTTTAAAAACAAAAAAAATCAGAGAAAAGCAGAAAGGTAGTAGGAAAGTGATGGCAATTAATTACACAGGGAGATAAAAAAAAAAAAAACTCTTTGATAGTGTTTTTGCCTGTTCTGGCTGTCCTCCTTCTGTCACATTTGTTCCTCCCACTCTCAGCCCCTAGATTAAAGCCCACTTTGCAGATGCACAGATTTCATCATTAGGTGCCTTTTAGGACACTGCAGCCTGAAATAACCCTTCTGTCAGGTTTTCACTTCAAACCACGGCAACGTCTCCTTTCTACAACTGCTTTATCATTTACAGGGGTAAACGCCCCTCAGGCTTCTGGTTGCTTGCACCGTACCTCCTCTTTGGCGATGCGCATGTTGTCAGTGACCTCCGAAAACACAGTGGGTTTTATGAAGAGGCCTCTGTCTTCAATGGCAAGACCTCCACATTCCAGCTTAGCGCCTTCTTTCTTCCCGCTTTCTATCAGTTCCAAGATTTTGTCGAACTGTTTTTGGTCAATCTGTCAGGCACAAAAGGAAAGGAAGAGCAGGGCCTTTATTGTCACTGTGTTTGAGACCGAACCCTGCTGGAGCCACCTCAGGGGGTTGTGTCTGCAGGGTACTGCACACCGGGTAAGTTTACATCTCATTTACCATTCTAGGATGTGCATTCATACAATGAGTGGGGGGAAAAATAGGACGTGGGCATAGCCCTAAGCCATGGAAAATTCAAGGTGAAGTTACATGTGGTGGATTCATTTGATCTAACAGTTTGCTGCTACATGGAAGGGGTCTCCCCACTCTTCCCCTTCCTCCACCTCCCAGATGGGCATTTCCAAGGCTTAGCTTACACGAGCCCTGGGACGTTCCTAATCTTCTCCAGGCCCTGATTTAGCTCACTAGCACAATAAGAATAGTCTGAGGTGGGTTTCTGCTGGACTACCAAGCTGAATCAGCTCAGCAAGGGGTCAGATGAGTAACAGAATCAGCACAAAGGAGGAAGAAGCGGGATAAATGTTAAGCCAGCTTAGCTATAACATGCAACTTCACCCAAAGGCACCTGGCTCCAGCTTGAGAGCTGGAAGAACCCAACCAGCTCTCACTCTATCTCTCTCTGCACAGCCACAAAGATAAGCCCTGTTAGAGGAGTGGTTTCAGAACAATTATTGCACTGAAGCTATATTGTTAATATCAGAATCATCTTTCACATATCTTTGAGACCGGCAGCATCCCAGCATTTTCTGCTTTTCTGAACTGGCAGGACTGCACCTCCATATCCTCACTTTTAATTGCCCAAACTGCTCACCCCCTTCCTGCGCCGAGAGGCCCCGCTTACCCCACAAGCCCCCCGGGTCCCGTGTGCTGGGAGGAGATGCACAAGCCCTCAGCCCTTCTGAGGGCAGTGCGGGTACTGCTCTTGTGCCCACACATAGTGCTATATCGGCGGGTTTCAAACAAAAGGATGTGGCTATTTGCATGTTGAGTAATTGAGCCATGAAGCACCTCGTCACAGCACGCTGCAGGAGGGAAAAGACTTACAGAGCTGTTTAAAAAACGAAAAAAAAATCTAGTGAAAACCTGGAGAAATTCCTGGAGGCAAATTATACAAAAGATCCTGCCACTGGGGCTCAAGGAGCAGGCTGGATGGTTATTCCGAATGCCAATTATCTCTAAATGCTTGCCCTGGTTCTATACCCTTCCCTAGGCAGCTGCTTCTATTTCAGCAGAGCCAGTTGGGACTGTTTGAATATCAGAGCTTCCATACACAACTCCTCCAGATTACAGACTATATCCTGTTCCTTGTTAATCCTGGCCACACGCAATCCAAGTTTTTGAGCATTTAGGAAAAGATCAAAGCTCCAGCAGGGCGTCCTTTGGGTCCTTCTGGTGCAGAGGGAACATGGAGAGCAGCGCATGTCCTGCCACACAGATGTGCACACCATGAGCCCTGTGGACAACTGAGTACTGAGCGCTCATGTTCTCTTGTGTGTAAAATGCTACCAAAGGAAACATTTAATACACGTTACTCCATGAGAAAACGAGTGCCCTCACGCAGGCTACAGGGTATCACATGAACAGTTTGGCAGGTGTCAGACATGTTGTCTGCTTGTCCAGTTGCTTCGTTGCCAAATGTAAACAATATCTGCAAGTGCTTTCCATCCTGGCATGTCTGTGATCCAGATCCATCTAGTTCAGCTACTTCACATCACAGAAAACAAAACAAGGATATTTATACAGCTGTAACTTGTTGCAAGGCAAACTATAGTTAGATGAAAAGACACCAGGGAAAGAAAACATTTGTAAAAAATGGCATGCAAGGGAGGAACTGTTTTTCATTGTAATTAGAGCTTGCAAGGCTTGCATAAATTCTGCCCCCTACTCCCTTATTATTTATAGTTTAATTTGAGTATTGATTTCTATTGAAAACATATGATGATGTAGAGAAAATTCTACTATTAATCCATCTAATTTAAAAGAGAAGAGGGCTCTTACAAGATCATGGTGATGCTGAGAATTCCCAGTTCTTCACATTTTCCTTCAAGGCAAGACTGCAAGAGCAGTTTTTCCTTTTCCTAACCTCTCATCTGTAATCTTAAAGAATAATCCCACACTTGGGTTGAACAGGCTGCGGTTACATTCTGCTCTCATAGCTCTGTCTTAAAGTATACAAATATCTGTAGTCTAAGAAAAATACTTGGTATTTAAAAATCAAGTGAAAAGGCTTAGGATGAATAACTTGTGGCTACTAAGTGCTATAGGGCAGCTTTAGGGCTATTTTCTTCCTATAGATGAAGCCAAATAGTCCCCAAATCGCAGGATAGAGTAAGACTAATCTAGTCTTGTTCTAGTCTAATCCCTGTTCTCATCTATCTGGACTCGGGTCTATTGCAGTCTGCTGCTCACAGTTTTGGAGTACACTGGTTAACCAGTTTGCCGCCTGTGCACATTTACTTCATTATTTCCTGTGACACAACTTCCAGGAATCCACTTTAAAAAATGCCCTGCATGTACATTTGAGGTTGGCACTGCAATCAAACAGTCCTGACCCCTCAGGTTTCTTGTGGTGTCCTTTGAATTCCCAGCCAGGCAACACACTCAGACTCACGTGAGCTCTACAGAAGCCACAGCAGCAGCACGTCTCATTTCTGCACAATGCTGATTAAATTTGACTTAATTTTGATCAGAACAGGTCAGTTAGATCAGCATAACTCACCCTGCAGCCCACATAGCCCTTCCTCCAGCCCCATGCCATGAGCATCCATGCCAATGCAAAGTATTCCGCATGAGGAAACTGATTTGGGGAAAAATCTGCCTTTCTTCCCCACTCAGGAAAAGGCTGGTTTATACCAGACTGAATCACCCAGTTCTGCAGTCTGGTTCAAAAGGAAGAAGCAGCTGCAGACAGGCCCATGTTTTTAGGAGCAGTTTATATCAACTCTGGCGGGGCGGTACTGAGTGTCACCCCACGCTGTCCTGTTTCAAGTGGTCTCTGCAGCTGCTCCGAGTACTATGCTCAGCCAAGGCCTCGCTTGGTTTCACAGAGCAGGAGCCCAAAGCCTGCACCACTCAGCATCTCCTGCACCTGCCTTGGAACTGTCTAGGTTCTTGGGTCTGTTCAGTGGCTGTAAACTCTCAGAGTTGATATAGGACCATAAAGATCACGGGTTACAACCATTTTCAACCTAAGAGCTTCTTCAATACCTTCACGCTGTTGGCTTCTAACCCAGTGATCATCCCAGAATAGGGTCTATAGAGCACAAGGTGGCCCATTTTCAGTAACACTACTCCGCATGTTCACCGTGACCCACAGAAGAAGAGTAAATGCAGTGACCTGGATCTAAAGCAATTCAGTTCTGAAGGAGAAAAGGAAGCTTTTTTTTTCCTGGTAATTCTTCCCCTCTCTGGGGGTTCAAAACAAAACTCAGCTCTAAGCACAGCAGCTGACTTCAAGAACAGAAGAGAACCTGATGTATGTCTTTACAGCTGAAGGGTAACTTTGGGGTAGGGGGTGCAAACCTTTGCTACGTTTGGAGGTTCTTTGAGCCCTTGTGACACTGCATCATTTCACTCTTCTGCGTTTTTAAGCTTGAGTTCCTGTGTGTTGCATGTCACAGCACATGCTCCAGTGACCATTGCAAGGGCAGAAGTGATTGCTCCTTTGCATTGGGAGCCACATGAAAGCTTGGGGTTAGCAGTTTCCTCCCACTCTCACTACACCTTCCTCACCACTGGGTTTGACAGTTGGCAGGCAGACAAGTTTACGCTGGGGGAGTCCTCTCTCTCCTAGCTACAAGTGTAACAGCTAAAACAGGATAAAGGAGGAACGAGCTGTCTTTGCAATCTCACCACTTACCGTTACCTGTTATCCTCACTTACCGTTACCCTTAATTATAGCTCTGTTGCAAGGAGTATCCCTTAGGCACAGCAGCTCTGGGAAGTGCTCTGACAGGCCCTGACAAGTGCTGGGGCAGATGCATGAACTGAAATTAGCAGCCCAGCCCTACATGTTCTGCTCACCCTTTTAAAAGCCCATAAGTACTCCCTGTTTCAGGGAGTGATTTCAGGCACCGTTCCTGTGAAGTCAGCGGTCTCTATCAGAGCAGGCAACCGAAAGGGGTCCCCGTGAGACCCACTATAAATGCAGTTCACTTGGTGCTACTGAAAGCAAGGCAAGGCTTAAGCTGACACTGCTTCAAAAAACGCAAATAAACCTGAAAAGCTGAGAGCCCTGAGCAGAAGGTAAGGGCAGACCCTGGAACCATTTGAGGGTCAGCTTTTCTCTGCTGAAACAGGTTCCAGCACATAATATTTCCCTAGCAGGGCAGCTGAGCAGTTTGAGATCTCCTGGACAAGTTTTAGGGCTAGATGCAGTCCCAGCTTGAGCAGGGGACATGCATGATCGTATCCCCATGCACACGGATACGCAGGGAGGTTTTGCTACATACGTTATCAAGTGTGGATAAGCCAAGAGCCCCAGATAGAGGCGGATGTCCCCAGGACATCCCTTCTCTGGGGAATCCTGTAGCCCTTATGAAGGTAAAAAAACATAGTACTGGGAACAGCTGACCTAGGCTACAGCTTTCTGTGATGCCCCCTTTTGTTTTAGTAGCAAATAGCAGCATTATTTGAAGGGCTACCCTAGCATCATCTTCCTCCAGAGTTCTCCAGCACAGCTCAGAGCACTTTGGAAGGAAGAAATAAGATGAAGGCTCTAAAGCATTGACAAGACTGGCTGTGACATTGGTTTTTCACGGTTCTTCTTTCTAATTCAGCTGAAATCTCACCAAAGGATCCTAAGGCAGCAGAAGAGGAAAGGGAAAGTGGGGACTCCTGGGCCTCTAGGCTCTAACTACTTGTCATCAGCAACACAGCCCAGTAGCTGAATGATGGTTTCTGCAGCTGCAGTCATCTGTGCCCCTCCAATCCTCCCTGAAACAAGTTTTGTATTACTGTGCTAGGGACACGAGACAGCGCCTTGCATAAAGCTGGCTAAGAACTCAATTAAATACATTTGTGTTAAAAAAAGAAATACAACATAACATTTCAACAGTTGTGATTAATTGGTATTTAAAGCAGAAAGAAAAATAAAGCCATGATACATTACTCACCCCTCAGGGCTTCTGCTGGGACCATATTCACAAGGATAATATTTATCCAAGGAGAATTAAATAAAAGCTTAACCAAAAACCAAAGGACAACTGTTCTCAGGCACACAGTTACCTGGGGCCCTTGTTCAGTTCGGGCATCAAAGGGGTCTCCAACAAGTCGCTTCTTGGCGTACTCCACGCTGCGCTTGACAAACTCGGGGTATATCTGCTCCTCCACGAACACTCGTGAGGCAGCCGTGCAGCACTGCCCTTGGTTGAAGAACACGCCTTGATGGGCACATTCCACTGCCAAGTCCACTGCAGGACAGCCCAGGAAGGAAAAGCATTACCACATGCACAGTTTCTGCCTTGCAGTGTTTCCAGACTTACTTTTTCCCCTGTTTTTTTCTTGAAAGCCTTCCTTAAAAGCTGCCAAAAATGGCCAAGCCCATTAAGGGCACTTGCAAGGCCTTGCACTGCCCTCCCAACTCTAGTTTGCCATGGGCTCCAACACCTTCTTCCACAAGGTCTCGTTCAGGGTGGCAACTAGTTTTTAATTCCATGTTAGAATTCAAAATTCCATGTTAGAATTCTATTATGGATCCCTAGACGCCCTGTACGAGTTCCTGCAGAGTAGCTTCACTAGAGATTGTTTAGAAAGCAGTGTGCCCTTCTGCTAAGCAGCTCAGACCAGCTTCTTGTAATGCTCCCCGTTAACAGACTGCACAAATACGTACTGCTTTTAACCTACATGTGCTATGAAGGAAAGTGGAGAGTCCTTTCCCCAGGCCAAGTAAGTTTTTAAAATCACTTTGATACCTCAGGTTAAACGCACCTCCTAGTCCTACTCACTAATGTTAGAGAAGCACATGAAAATGACAGAACCACAAGAAACAAATCCTGCAGATCCTCTAGGAGCAGAGGGAAGGAAGAAGGAAGGAATACCAGTCCCGCTAGCTGCCAGAGGACCACAGAGGCACCCAGGACACACTGCACTCATACCATCTCACAGCAACCGCAGACACAGCAGCCTGTACTCACAGTCCGCATCTGCGCACACGATGCAGGGGTTTTTCCCTCCAAGCTCTAACGTCACTCTTTTGAGGTTGCTTTTGGAAGCAGCTTCCTTGATCAGTTTTCCAACCTGTAGTATTGAGACACAGAAAGAATAAGGCTGTTCCCCTCAAAAGTCTTAAGGCAGTTTGTCATGTGGGATGCTACCAAGGGCAGAGGAGCCTGGGGGTGGCTGGAGCAGGCGCAGGCAGGGACAGCACTCTAAGTGGTTTGAGTTTCCTACTGCTCTGATGTGTGCGCTCAAGAACAGACCCAGAATTATCATCTCTTTTAGGCAGATACAAAATTACAGGCTATGTGGGAGAACTGCAAGAAAAGTAGTCTGAAGTTATGTCTTACCAGAACTGCAGAAGAAAGTACTTATGACACTGGACAGTGCAAACTATTGAGTAACTGCCTGGCACTCCATGGGATTCCAAAGTTAAGGAGGAAAGAATTTTATGTTTAAAATGAGATCTTGCCAAGGCAGTGATAAGAATTCGCTGTTCCTACCTGCAACTTCTCTCATACCAGAAAGTCATATAGTGATTTTGACATTTAGGAGAACCCCACTTCTTTCTGACAGTTCAGGCTGAGCTACTTCACACACAAGAGTGGCTGAGACACGTTCCCCTCCCAAGCGATTACAGAGGATGATTATGGAGCAGATAAGCTCTGACAAGCCTTGCTCTGGCACCTGCAGCCCAGGAACCTGCTCTGACTGGTAGAATGTATCTGGTCAACCTCTCCTGAAATGAGAGATATACTTTTGTTTCAAAATTTAATCAAAATGTATCAAAATTATTTTTTCCCCTCATAGGAAAAAAAAAAAAAGGTTAATTTTAAATATTTACCCCAAATTATGACTGGCCTACTACATTTTTATACTGAAAACACAGTAATAAGAATTTCTCTTCCATTTTCAAAGTATTGACTTCTTCACAAGAAGAGTGCAAATCAGGAGTCAGCATAATTTAGTAGTCTGCTGCTGCCAGAAACAGTATGAGTTAATTATTTGGGAGCCTCAATTATTAAGGGGGTTTATTTTTCTTCAAGTGTGAGCCTGGCTTTAAGTTACTCATTTTATGACTTGTCGTCTTGTATTCTATCTTTGAACATGGCAAACTTAACTTAATTTCTACCTAAAAATATTACTGCAGTGGCATGGAGCTGTGAGCAAGGAAGGCATGTTGCAGCTGGCTGGCAGTTCCAGGTCTGCATTTCTCATGTACTGCCTTTAAAACTCAGGCAAGACTCCTGGTACAGATCATCCCCAGTCACTCATGCTGCAAGATGCACGTAGCTTCACAAGAGTCATTGCTACAAGCTAGTTATCTAATGAGCACTGAGAGAAAGTAGGAAACCTAGATGGAAAAAGTTCCATGCAGTTTAATATCAGTATTTCCAGGCTGGCATTGAGCCCAAGCCAGGGCTTAAAACCTAAGTCAAAATGTATTTTATATTGGCTTCACTTTCTGGCTCAGAAACAGTAGCATAATGCTGCAAATACTGCAGAGATGCAGTTGAACTCACAGATGGGTGGAAGGGGAAGAAAAGACTTCTAAATTACACATGCATTAGGAGAAAGTCTCTCCCCCTTGGTGTTTCCTGCACACCTAGGATTAACAAAACAAGCACAGTGCTTCCTGTAGGAGCTTTGTGCCTACAGGCTCCAGCAGCTGAGACTCTCCTTCTACTTCTAATCCAGTGGATACTTTTTCATTAAAAACCCAAACAGATCCATGTGGGCTGGATGAATCTATAAGCTCTATTGTTTTCACACAGTCAGAATCTAATCCGAGCTAAAAGTTTCTGATCTAGGATTTGGAGAGAAGCATGTATGTCGGTAAGCTCCTAGATTAGACCAACTATCTAGAGAGTAAAAACTCATCGTGAACTTTTATTTTATTGTGTTCACATTTGTTCCCATGCTCTCTACACAGAAACAGAGGCTTAACAAGCCTTCTCCTATGGGATAGGCTGTGCAGTTAGCATGTACACTAAACCACTAGATGGTACTGTTGATAAGTGCAAACCATACAGTTTGCAGCACCTTTGAATGTTTAGCAAGTTACCTTTATCAACCAAGAATACCTTTCAGGGTAATTTGTTATCATTATGCAATTGGATTGCACTCTGCAGTCATGAACGAAGGCGGAAGAATGGATGAATTCAGCAAATGCTCAGCACAAAAAGCGTTATCAAGGATATAAAAAGGAAGACTGCATTTGTCTCAACTGCATGGCTGGTGTGAACATTTCCATTCCTTGCCCACAGCCCCTCTTCAGGGTGTGGGTGTGTACTGCAAGGAAAACCTACAGCAGTGAGTGGAAAAACAAACATTCACATTTCTAAGCAATTTTTCCTTAGGGAGTTTGCCGCAGCACGCCATTCCTACGCTCAGTTCCATGGTCTAGGCCAAGCACTGTGCTCTTTTCTCCTGTGTAGGTACAGGGGAGGATGGCTGTAGCGCATGGCAGTGCAGAAGTCTCACTTCTCCCCTCTTTAAGCAAGGCAGCCACTTACAGGAAAAAAAACAAACAGAAGGTGCTTTACTGTGCACGTCTTAAAAGGAGCCGAAATGTTAATGCCATCCACGTCAGCGGTGGAAGCTTCAGGCACTGTGCCATGTTTTTATTTAAGCCCCAGTTCCTCTGAGGCAACTAAAGCCCAGGAAGAATTGTTCAAGACTGACTGACATGTTTTCCAGTTGCACACGCTTGCAGGGCAGGACTGGCAGGCAGGCTTGCCCAGAAGCTTCGCTACGTCAATGACGTGATGTTGGCCCTCTTGCCATTGCCAACATCGATGACATGATGTTGGCTCTCCTGTAGACCCTCTTGCCTATGTCAGAGCATCTATTACTTAACCGGTCTTAACAGAAACGTGGCAGTTTGGCAAAACCAACTTAAAGAGGTAGGGGATTATCACAAGTGCAATAATAAAAGCAGCTGGACCTGAAGTAGACCAATTCCAAATGCTTCTCAGAAATCCTGTCACATAAGAATGATAGAAAACGGTTTTAGTGACGCAGAAAATCATCCAGTCTTCTGTGGCTGGCAGTTGTAGCAGAGAACATACACAGGAACAGCAGACATTTGAGAAAGTCATCACCTACCTTTGTGGATCCAGTAAAAGCGATTTTGTCAATGCTGTGATGGGTAGAAATGGCAGCTCCTGCTGTGGGGCCATAGCCTGGCACAATGTTCACCACACCTGGAGGGAAACCCACCTAAAAGGAAGTTAAACAGAGCTCTGTAGGGAGGAATTTTGAACACTCTGGACCCAGTAGCACAGTTCTCAGGAAGCCTGAATTAATTGCACTATGTCCTTGCGGGTGAGGACAAACTCTACAAACTATCAAAGTGATTTCTGCAGCTTTGCACTCTTAGGCACCTGTAGAAAAGTTCTGCAAAACCCATTCATGTCACAGATCACTGAGCAAAACACCTTAATCCTTCAGTAATTAATGGCATCACCTGATTCTACTAACCTCACTGAAATCAAGCTCAGAGCAAAAATATACTTTCCTCTATGAAAATGCAGGGCACAAATATGAACACTAATATGTATTTGACATGCCTAGTTTATGTTAATTTAAGACATATACAAATATACTAGATACTGAAAGGTCTGGTTTTCCCAGGTTGTAACATGGCTGCTTGCAACCCACTGGAGTAGACATGACTGAAAACAACAGCTATGGCTAAGAAATGCCAAGATTCAACAAGAATTCTTGGAGGAGGCCCAAATTCAAGTTAAAAGAGAGCGAGTATTTTGGCCAAACTTGGCCCCCAGCTACTGCAGTGCAGCTGGAGCCAAGGGGGAACCGAATGAAAGTTTGTTTTGAACAAAGGTTGACATTTGTGGTTCTTCAGGGGCCAGAGGGATTAAGGAGTCAGTAAAATCTCACTAGAAGATGGGGCTAATAAAACAGAAATACAAGAGCAGATGGTAACAGACTAATGCCAGTTTCCACCACATTTACAACCTAGATTAGTGAAATAGTAATTTTGCCAAAAAACACAAATGGCAAAACCTGAGGTGAAATTCTAGTGCAAGGAGAATCACAGGCCTTATTGATACGTGTTTGCTTCCTGAAACAAGAGTTTCAAGGATCATGCTTTTCTAGGCTGGGCTTTGCCTAGTGCTGATTGCAGAGGCTATTTTCCCTGTATTTCTTAACAACGGAATTATAGGCTATAAAATATTCACTTCATTTCTTGTGGCTTTTAAATATAGAATCTCAGTAAATGCAATTGCTCCTTTCTAAGGCAGAAAAAAAGTAATTGCAGCTGTAATACCTCACAAAAAATTATCCTGATAAGACTTTTTTTTTGCATAAATTGGAAATGCAATCTGAGTTCTATGTGGAAGTGACAATGATAAAAGACAGTTTAATAGAGTTTACATTTGGGCTAATCAGTTTTGAAGTAAACACTATGCACTGAACTGCACAAGTAATGGGGTTTAGAATCAGTAGCAAAACCACAAGGAAGCAAAAAAAATCAGGTCACCCTGAACCAGAAAGATTTTTTTCTGTTTTTCAGCAAAAATGAAAGCCAAACTGCTTTGCTCGACCCAAAAATATTTCATTCATCTCAACACAGGCAAAATAGTTTTGCTTGTGTGTTAGCATCTTCTGAATCCTTTTTAAAAGTTCAAAATAAATAAATAAAGGAATTTTATTCTTCTGAAAAACTCCTAAGAGTTTAGCCAATTGTTTGTTGGCAGTAGCAGAAAGCAGCTTCAAATAAAATTAACTCTGCTCTAATTACACCTCTGCTTTGAAATACAGCTATCAAAAACAAACAGACTAGATTTTTAGTTAAATAAAATAATTTCACAAGAATTAGATGGTTCTTTTGGCAAATGTTACACTTTTGGGGAGAGATGGAGATCAGAGCCAAAAGGACAGTAGTATGACAAGGAGTCATGAAAACTGCACCCTACGCTCACTCATTTAGTGCATTATTAAGTCAACTAACTGCAGGAGAAAGTCACTTAACTGGAGTAGTTTTGCATACTTCTCCCGGCACAGGAGCCCTAAATGTCATTTATTAACATATCCTTTTACTTTCCCCCAGGCTAAGCCAAGAACAGATAGGATTATCATTAAAATTAGACTAGACTGCTGAACAGACTTTACTAGCTGGGAGGCTAAAGCATCTTCTGGCCTAGACTAAATGATGCCGTGTTATGCAGAGCACATCTAGCTTTGTGCCTGTTCATGCTGGACGTTGCTTTGTGTCATACAGCACCTTTAGCTTTTGTTCACTGTTAAATATACAAGGTTGATGCTGTACAGACCAGTCCAGGAAGATGCTGTGCACCTCCCATCACCTCTGTATGCTGAATAAATCTGAGGGTACCTGAGGTCCTACATAACAAGCCCTAAAACAGCATTTTGAAATCCCAACCTGTGATTTTCTCCTTATATCAGTATGCCAGGTAACTCTAAAGATCAGACATAACTGAAATGATTAATGAAATGCAAAAACTTATGAAGAATAGTTTCCTGTGGCACTCTGGTCATCCCATGTCTAAAAAGGGCACAAGCACAACACTGCTGTGTAACCATTCTCCTTTTGTCAGATCCATGTTGTCTAATAAAACTGAGCTGTAGCCTTTCCCTTGCTCAGGAGGGGAGAGGACAAGACAGACATAAAAGACCAGTTTTTCTCTCTCCAGTTTCCTTTTACTGCAGCAAAACCTACAAGTTTTGTAATCTTTGTTGCCTCCCAGCTAGCCACTGCCAGACACCAGGTTCTCTGAAAGAAAAGCCTGAAGACATAGGCTGCTTCCATTTTCCTCTGAAAATCTTTAATTTAATGCAGCCTAAAACCCCACAGAGCCAATTCATTATGCAGGCTCCCTTGTGACCTTAGAATTACAGTGCCTGGACGGGGTGCTCAGCTCTCCTTACCTCCTTGATCAGCGAGCCAACGTACAGCGAAGTGAGAGGAGCTTGTTCGGCCGGCTTAATAACCAGCGTATTCCCACAGCACAGAGCTGGTGCCATCTTCCAAACCAGCATCAGCAAGGGGAAGTTCCACTGCAAGAACAGCACGTCAGTCAGAACAGCCCTGCTCAGCCACCTCCTTGCTCAAAAGAGGCATTTTCCCCACCTCTGCACAGCTCAGGGAAAAACAAGCGACTTGGAAAATAGCCACAACGAGCAGTGTTTGCTTATTATTATGCTTGCTTGGACTACAGATTATATCTTCCTCCATTCCCAAGCTAATCCTGTTAAATCAGGCAAACACATTGCATGATGCAACTTCATTCTTTACAGGAGTTAGACCATACTTTAGAGAGGATTTCTGCTGTTCACAGAATCACCCTGGGGATTCTGGTGCAAGACTTCTGTGCTGCTATGGGGTGAAACTGAAAGAAACACAGCTTTCTGTGTAACCATATTAGCTGAAAAGTTAGGAGTTGTGCAATATCATCCAATTTGGGGTTTATAACTAGAAAACTGCAGTGGGTTGTTCAGCCATGGGGATCCTGGAGAGGCCTTAAACTCCCTTTAAATTGTTAATTGCTCCTTTCCAATTAGTGTTCTTTTCTGGAATTAGGATCCAGTCCACATCAGTTTCCTCTGTACTAATCTCTTTCATGGTCATGTCTTATTTGTAGATCTTGGAGCCTAAGCAAGAAGTGGAAAATCTAACTCAAGCAAAAATCTCAGAAAGGTCACTTGGCAGCAGAAAGGTTTTCTTCATTAAAAATAATTAATATTGCTTCAAGGATGATGGAAATAGGCCAACAGTAAGGGGACTTCTTGTCGAGGCTCAAGCCAAAGGCCTTCAGCTATCAAAGAAGCCAAGTATGTTAGGAATCCACAATTTCACACTTACAAATTAGCAGCGTCGCTTTTAAGAGACAAGTTCTGTTTTAACGCAGGAGCCTAAATACAATGCAGAATTTAACCTAGGCCATTTTTCTTCAACTTGGCCTTTCCCTCGACCCCAAGCTCGTATCATTTCAGCGATCTTCCCCAGTTGAGCACATCCCTATTTGCCTATTTGCCTCTTCTCCTAAGCCTTCTCGAGGGCCTCATTTCATAGCTTCAGACACTCACATCTTCACTACCTCTCTGCATTTTCGGAACATGACATAACTCCACTAGGATCTTTCCATTGCAGAACAGCTAGTGAAAATAACAGTTAGTAAAGGACTTCAGGACTGTCTGACCACATCACCTTGGCATAAAGCTCAGTTATATGCTGCACTCTCTTAAAACTGCTCTTGCTCAGTAGATGCATTTCAATATAGTCAAGCTAGAGTAAAAAGGAAAGATTGTTAATTGATCTAGTGAGACACGGGCAAACAGAGATGAAACTCCTCTACAGCAAGTAGCAATATACAAATCCACTGACTATTGCTGCTAGAGATCAAACGGGAAAAACTGAAGTGGATATGTTCTGTGTAAACTGGAGACAGATGTGGTTTTGTTGACCCAAGTCATCCTTGTTACAAACATAGAGTTGAACTCGAGTCAAATTTGGATAAATGTTTTTGGAGTAAACTGAAGAAAGTAAACACTTTGAAATAAGGATTTGTTTCAAGAATTGCTGAAAAAAAATATAAAGGTATGCATCAAATTTTGACCTAAACTTTTTAGGTCCAAAGCCAAATCACTTCTTTTGGTTGAAATGAAATATTCATCTGGCTTAAAGAAACTTCTATTTTTCTTTGCAAAACAAAAGATCTCTATCTACTCATCAGAACTGTTTCCTCAGAGTTTCAGGGTGGTGAGCAATATCTGGATTGTCATGCTACTCAAGAAGCACTTAAGCCTCCTAACAGTTGCACCTGGGCAGGTAGGTATTTTTTCTTTGATGAAGCTAATTTAAAAACTAGAGCTTTAAAAATGTGTAACTTAATACTGCTATTTTTCATCTCCAGAGCACAGCAGCAAACTTGACATAGACTGTTCCTCTAAGGAGGTGCTACACATTTATCTGTGACTGAACATGACTCAGATCACAATAACCACGTATCTCAATCGATACTGGCATGTTTGTCATGATCACAGTATCCTCAAAGCAGGACGGTATCCTCTTGCCTAGGTGAATTCTTCTTAGCCAAGATGATTATGTTTCTAAAACATGCAAGCTATAGAAATCCTTCCTATTGTATGCACTGCTGTGCAGAGTGGGATCTGATATGGCAAGAGACCAGCTATTTCCCTTATATTAGACCTCCAAAGCATCCTACATGTAGGCTTTCAAAGAGATAGTCTCCAAAAGCATTGCTGAGTGCCAAAGGTAGCTGAAGTATGACAGGGAGACACCTTCTAACTGGTGATCAATGCAGGGAATCTGATGTTTTGCACTTACTGCACAAGTTCTAGTTGCTCAGTTAGTCACGCTGCTGGATCAGCAATAAAAGCTGGCAAAGTTACTAGGCAAACATCTGATAACTAACACTGGCCACCTCCTACTTTGCCTCAGCCTGACAGGGCTAAATAGACTGTTCCGTTTTATCACGAGGGATACAAACTCAGACTAGCTGAAGGAAAATGAATAATTTCCTCTGATGTTTTGGGGAACTGGACCAGACATGGTATTTAAAAGCAAACCCAAAGCCCCACTTGCATTTCTTCCAACCTCTCCACTAACTTTATCCTAAGGTTCAAAATCTTCCATGGACTTTACTGATCTAAATATCTAAGCAGAGTATCCTGCACACCACAGTTGGCATCATGGCTTGTAGGATACCATTCAAAGTATTTTACAGCCAGACAGGAACTAACCATGGCTCCCATGCAGCTGTAAAGTCTTCTTGGCTGCCTGCTTAAACAAAGCAAGCAGCACACACCAAACCTGGAGGTATTCCGAGAACTAGCCACACTGTACCCTCAGCAAGGAATGAGGCCTCAAGGAAAAGCAAACTCTATTTAGTGAGATTTAATCATACAAAGCTAAGAGAACAGCCAGGGGTTATTACTAATGAATATGATTTAAAACTCATAACTATGTCTCAGCAGCAGGCAGCGAGAAGCAAGCACATGTAATGACAGGATGGTTGTCCCAGCAGTGAGAGTCAGAGAGCTCTGACGGGTCTCTGGTGACTGGGGTCAGCAGCTGACCAGGAGACCCACCCTTCCAGTGCAGAGGAGGTTACCTTGCCAAGAGGAATTGGCATGGGGGTAACACAAGCAACTGCATCAGGCAGCTGAGATGGGAGTTCCCTGCAGAACAGCTGTACTTAACTAGAAAGTGAACGGCTGCAGAACGAGACAGGGAGTGCAGTACAATTCTTCCAGGTTCAAGGGACAGGCAGGGCACCATCGCTGCTACTTACTGGAGTTATAGCTCCGCAGACACCCATTGGTTCATGCCTGGTAAAGCACACAAAGTTTTCATCTGCAAAACAAAAGAATAAAAGACAACAAAACAGTCAAAACCTCTGTTTCTACAGAAACAGTGCAAGATTACTGCACGCTCAGAGTTTGGGGACGGGGCCCCTGAGACACCCCAGAAGGATGAAGACTTGTTTGAGAACAGAATTCTGTTAGTTCACAAGCCAAATGCTGCTCATGTTCAGAGGGGAATCTTTAAAAACCATTGGGTTGATTCCTCCCAAAAACTCCGTGTGTTGAGGCTCAGGGGAGGTTAACTCTCTAAGTTTATGTTAAAATACTGCAATTACTCTTTCAAAGTGAAAGCAGGAAGGACATTTTCTTTTTTTCTTTTTTGGGGAAAACCTGGTTTCAGTGGAAAGATCTGATGAATACTCAAAAATTTCTACTTCAGGTTTTTAGAAGTGATCTCAAATCAATACAAAGAACCAATGCCCAGGCAAGCAAAGCTTCACACCAGTCTGATTGCAGGTGACATCTCTTTACGTGAATGACACCACTGTCTTCAGACCCTCTGCTGACTGCACAGGCAGAACAAGTTCAGCACGTTGGAGTCCTTCCTCTGGGAGTAACTTGTGTCTGCAGGGTCTGTCCTTCATACATCCTCAGTGACCAGCAGCATGAAGGGATAGAGCAGGCTGATTTTCAAAATATACCACATTGCTTGTCATGCCATTGATGTCTACAAATGCCCAGTGTCTTAAGTTGTTCCCCCCCCATCACCACATTTGCACTTAGAGGGGAGACCCTTCGGCTCATCTCTGTCACAGGAGTGCAGTGTGACTGCTCTGGCTATGAAACTGAAGGTGATAAACTTCTTCCAAGTGTTAAAAACTTGAGAGGACCCCTCCTCACTCAGCACTTTGTCTCCTGGGAGGAGGCAGCATCTCAGACTTTCTCTTTAATAAAAATTAACAAAAAAAATCACTATCTAATTTCTCAAAACATGTGTGTGGCCAGCACTGTTGGGGTGTCAAAGCGTCAATACAGCTGGATGCACAACTAGAGTCCACGTCAGCTCTTTGCCACATCCCCATGGTGTGGGATGTAGGACATCATCAGCCCTGTTGCCTTCTTAAATTCATCTCTAGAAACCTCTGTCCTTGCACTCTCTGGCATTTTAATCCATTTCAGCATTTCCTAATGCATGAATTCCCCCACAAGGTGTGCATGTGTGTATGTGTTTTTTCCTACAGAAGTTAGTCTGAATTTAATAGGATAGTTTTCTTTAAAAAGTGATGAAACAGCACACCCAATATTTTCCAAAGGTCTATCCTGACATCCACGTTGTTCTGTAGTTACCTTAAATCTTGAACGTATCTACTTAAAGTGCATGCTGAGACAGAAAGGAAACACAAGGTTATTCTGCAGGTTTTCTGGTCTTTCCTTGTGCCCCTTTCCACAAAACCTCCCTCCCTCCCCCTCAACTTGATCCCATCCCAGCTCTGAGATCAGGTCAGAAGCAACTTACCCACGGGGATAGTTCTGCCCTGGATTTTATCAGCCCATCCAGCATAATATCGAAGTGTCTTTATACAACCTTCCAGGTCAATGAAATATGCCTGCAGAAAAGGTTTTCCTGTGTCCATTGTTTCCAAAGTCTGAAACACCAAATCATGTGCATTGTCAGACATACCAATATTTTTTTTCTGGAAAAAGCTTTTAGACAAACTCTTCAATTTTCTTTTGTGGTACAGACATGGCCTTTCCTTCCTTCACTTTATATTTAAAGAACAAGTTAGTCAATACGAATACAGTAGGGTGGAGATAACTATTCTCAGCAACCTCGATACAAGCACAGGTTTTGCTCAGTGACTGCAGGGAAGTTGTGTCTTCCAGAGGGTCCTGCAAGGTGGCTGCAGGTGGGACAGCGCATGGAGGTCTGGGGCACCTCTCGGATGTGCTGCGAGTGTCACAACTTCACTGTAACTGACCCTCAACACAGATGTTCTGGATTCCAGATGGTGTCACTGAAATCAGCCTGACCCACTTTTATTTGGAAATCTACTTTGCTTCCTGCTTCGCAGTCTCAAAAGCAACCTCTGAAAAGCCTCTTTTGTCCACAGGATGATAGAAAACACATTTCTTTACAGCATTCTAGCAGAGTAACCTTTGGGCTCCAATCTGTGCTTACACAAAGGCAATGAAGAAGCTGCTTCACTGATGTTGCATTAATGTTGAGCTGCACTAAATGAAGTCTCGTTAGGGCCTGTGTCCTTCTTGCAGTTCTGGACATTAGCTCAGTGAGTGCTTTGTTCTCTACTCAGGTCATTAAACGCAATATTGGTGGAAATGGCCAGCACATCCATAAAGGAAGTACTATCCCTTGGTAGATTGAAACATCTTTGTTTACGTATGAAGTCATAGCCTGTCATCTTCCACAAACATTAGGGTCCAAACAGCACTCAAACAGACATTCCCCTTGGAATGACTAAGATTATCATCCGCTCTGAATGCCTGCTAAAATGACTGATTTTTATAAGTCATTACTTAGCATGCAGCCAAGGCAGCAACGGCTGGTTTGCTGCAGTGAAAATAACAATGCCAAACAAGCCCTCCCAGATCACAGGGACAACAGAAAGCTTGAAATGAGTGTCCTGGTTTATGGAAAAAAAGGAGGTCCCTTTGAAGTCACACCAAGACATGGGCAGAAAATGAAGAGTGTTCTCACACTCGCACAGATTTTTTCCTCTGTTTATTTACAGGCCAGAACTGCCCTCAGACCTGGAGGTTTTGTTTCTGCCCTGCTCAAACTGGTCTGCCATGTGGTTCAGAAACACAGTGCTGAGGGCAGAGACCCAGCCCAACACAATCATGCAAGTTAGGGCTCCGAAGCACTTCTCACATGGCTTAAAACCACCCATCTTAGTGCAACTTCAGCTCAGTAACATATGTGTACAACAGCACTGCATGTCATGAATGTCATACACACCTGAAGAGAAGCAGAGCAAAAGTGCCATGCTGAACTGGTGGTGGAATTGAGTATGGACAGGCAGCAACTCTAAACTGAGAGATGCTAGGATTTGGGGGAGATCTGGAAAGCTGCACAAGGCCCACAGAAGGATTTCTTCCTCAGGACAGGAAGGGGGAATCATTAGCCACAGTTCCTCCATGCAGAAGTCCAAGTTAACACAGCTTCATGGCTATAGAGAGATTTTCCTGAGCCAGTACACTCAGGAGGGAAAGAAATACTTCCCACTTACACACATTTTAAGTTTTGGATGACATCCAACAAGAGAAAGATGCTCTCTCCAGACCCCCTTTTTAGGGGGCTTGCAAAGAAGTCAAACAGGTTTGTATCTTTGTAGTAAAGGAGGACCAAGTGAGGGTATTTATTATTATTTTAAGGTATGTGAATGCTAGCTAACCTGGGAGACAGGTATGAATACTGATGACTGCTAAAGCAAGAAAGAATGCTTTTGAAAAAAATATAAGCATTTAATATATATTTTTAATATCTTCAATTACTGAAGTTTTTAAGAATTCAACTATTTGGCAGTCATTTTCTAGGGCCCCAAAATCACCCAGTAGAAAGAGGAAGACAAAACATAAGTTTTGCTTGGACCCTTGTGTCCTACAAGAAGGGAGAGAGAGGAGAGATGGAAGGGAAAGGCATCCAGTTCCAGAGAATGTGTGATCAGTGTCAGGGCTCTAAACACACCTGAGAAAGTTTGGCCTATGTCACTGTTGCAGTGTCTTCCACTCAGGGAAACAAGAAACTGTTTTGCACCCTAGACTCTCCAAAAAGAGAGGGCTAAATCCCTTATTCCTGTATGAGAAGAGAGGAAAAGAATTAGGTCAAGCCTGAATGGCAATTCTCTTTTGGAAACATTGAAATCTGTAAAACAGGACTGGGATGATAAATCCAGACTGACATGAGAAGTGAGTTCAGGAAGGATTTGCAGTTGTCCCTGTCTAACACAGAAGCCCATAAGCTTTGAAAAAGCTACCTGGCCTTCCCAGTTCTGCAAAGGACAGGAGAGAAGCAGGTAGCCTAAGGCAGTAGAGGGCACAGGAGAAGGAGGAGCCCTTCTATGGGCTTCCCTCCTCTGTAGATAGTGTAAGAGGAGCATGACATGAGAAGGAGATGCAGCAAAACTGGAGGGGATGGAGCTGGGTTATCAGCCAACTGCTGCTGGCTTATCATTATTCCCCAACCACTGTACTCACTGCAAGGATGACTCTGTCTCGCTCAAGAAGATCAGCCAGTTTGTGCAAGAGCCGCCCTCTGCTCAAGGCATCCATCTCTCTCCACGGAGATCCCCTCTGGAACGCCGCTTTTGCCGCTTCCACTGCGTTATCCACATCAGGCTGGAGCAGCCACACAAACAAGAAAACACCAGGTTACAACAAAAGGAGCTGGACGGTGGCACAGAGATGCCAGCAAGCTGCCTTCTAGGGGATGCTCTGGTGGCTAAACATACCTGTCTGGCAAGACCACATCCATTTTGCTCCTGGATTTAGACCTAAGCCTGCAGGACCCCACGTGCCTGGCCTAGCCTGATAAACAACCTTGGGGTCAGAGTGCCAATAGGGTCTTTCAAGGGGAATTTTATGCAACTAGTTTGTTTACAGAATAATCCGGAACCATGTTGCTGCCAGTACAGCATCTAAGTGACAAAGTGGGGAAAATGGAGAAACAAGATCATAGTGTCGTTCCCATTAGAACTTCCCAAGTATGACAGATCCTTGGTCTGAATAGATCAGCATCCTCTAAACAAGCATAGAATGGAAAGTCCCCGCAAAGAGAAACCACGGTTCTGACCCCGTTCTTCAGTCCCACCTTTTCCCATGCAAACCCACATGAATAACCATTAGCACACTAAGAAAATCTCCCTTAGATCCTAGATTGAGCTTCAAGAATATTTCTCCCAGTCAGGAAGGGCTTGCACATTGATCCTAGATTGAGGATTCCTAAGAATACTTCTCCCAGTCAGGAAGGGCTTGCACATTGCTCAGGGTAGGGTAGCAGGGTTTAGGGGGCACAGTGGGGTTTAGTGGCACAGTGCCACACTCCCCTTCTCTCCCCGCTGCTTTGTTGCATGTGGGACCACATCTAACTCTAAGGGTTACACAGGAGGCAGTGAGTTTCTGGGGGCAGCAGTGTGGGAAGAATGAGAAACATCATTTCTTTGCTCTGGCCACAGCAAGGCCCAGCAAACACCTCCTTTCTCTCTCCTTCCCCCCGCATCATTCACGTTGATTAAAAAGTGAAGTCAAGGACAAGCTCCCCAGCCAATAAAGTCAATGGGAATGCTGCCACCAACATGCGCAAGGTCAGGACAGTACCCCAAGCATTTATATAAAGCATATTTCACTCTGGCTTTGGACAGGCTCCTGCTCTGTGTAATGTCTGGCACAGCCCCTACCTCCCTTCAGAGGATGGGGAGCTCTCTGCATCTTGCCACAATACGTGGCTCAGGGGGAGGGAGGGTTTCAGACTTTCACTGCTGCTCCTCTCACCATGGCCAAGCCCTGTCCAGCCCGCCTGGAACACATTCCCAACAGTGGGACACAACTGCGAGGTGACCCCCACACTCTTCCAACAAGGACTGGCTTTTCTGGGCGCATCTGGGGTGCTGAACCTAGAAAAATGCTATAGGGAAACATACTGCCTTCCTGCACCGAGTCTCACAGAGAAAACTGCAAGTCATCACCCACTGAAGTGACACCTTGGACTAGATTTGGCTCCTTCTTACACAGCTTAAAACTAGGCTGACATGCACTGCTGAGAGAAGAACTCCACCCTTTCAGAAGGTCACTGGTGAGGAAACCATTATAAGAAGCTTGTGCTGTCAGGGGGTGGTTAGTAGTGGCTCTGGTCAAGCAAGGGCAGTTGCAAGGCAGAGGCAGCAGAGCCTGTTGCACATTCACACACAGGTCCAGGATGGGGCCATGGTCCCCTGGCTGGGCTCCAGGCATGGTTTGCTCCAGGTGAATTAATCTGGATTTAAAATAACCAGCACATCATGAAAGCCAGAATGCACCACTGACTGCTGTGCATTCATGTCCTCTCCACATTGCCTGCTAGATGGAAGGCTCAAGCTGCAAGGCTTAAGTGAGAAAGCAGAGAAGGAATGAGAAGCACGTCAGGTTTAAAATACATCCTTCCATAGCAACAATTAATCAGCTTCTGTGACAAGGCAGAGAGCCACAGTGCACAGAGCCAGGTCCACAGCGCTGGCTGCTGCCTGTGCCACGGGCAGAGTGGACTGAGTGCCCATGGCACGGGCCTGATGTGGATCCTTTGCCCGCACGGCCATCTCATCCCCACGTGGCCAGGTTTTCCCTACCTTCTAGGGGTGAGAGCACCTCAGCCTCGCAGCTGCCCCTACAAATGCCAGTGGTTGCTTGTTGGAGTGTCGAAGCCCAGGGGACTCCGAGGCCCTGGCCTGGCCCAGGAGTCTCTTGCTCCCACGGAGGCAGAGGGAGCAGCTGTGCTGGATCCTGCAGGACGGCCCTTCGCCCTGTTCCTGTGGGCGTCACTGCTGAACACGCTTTAGAGACAGTGCAAAAGGTGCCTCTTTACTGGTGACAGTGTCACAGTGCTGCTGTCCAGAGGCTCTGCATGGGTGGTGGTTATGTGGTCACTTACATTCATTCTTGTCCCTTTTCTTCGACACTGACAGCACATACACATTGTAGCTTGGGGACTGCAGTCATTAGCAGACAAGCAAAACAGCTTCCCCAAAACACCCCCAGGGGCAACACCACCAAGTGAGAGCTTGTAAGCCAGCACACTCTTAATAGGCCTCAGAGCTCCGAGCAGCAACAACAAGGAAATTCTTAAGGAAGGCCGAAATGCCATTCTTAATCCGTCCTGTTATGACTAGGCATTAGGGGAGTCTGAATGGTGTGTTCATTACGGGGATGTTGCAATAGGTAGGCACAATGCGTGACAAAGACAGACTCCTGACTGTCACGGTGCCAAGGACACACTGCAGGATGTAAAACCACAAGGTCTGCGCGTCCGTGCACAGCTTTGAGCCATTATTCTTATTACATAAAAAGCTCTGCTGAGGGAATACTGAGATTGCAGAATCAAGTACTGGAGCGCTGGGGAATGCCAGCAAACCTCTGCACCTACTGTGGGTGCCTGCATTGTGATACAAGCCCCAGTTACACAACTGCATACCATTTTCCCCTGAAAAACTCACACAGATCTTTGTGCTAAAGCACTTCCTCCACCTTCCTCCTCTACCACAAGCCTTACTCATCACTGCTCCACTTCCATCCTGCACCTTTTTCTCTTCTGCCTTAGCACCAAGATGCAGAGCACATTGGAAACTATCACCTTACAGTCCCTGTACCTCATATTGGGAAAACACCTGCAAAAAAAGGTCTGCTTTGGCTCAGTGTAGATAATATAGCACCAGGAGGCATGTGGGGATGGAACATGTCCTGTAGAGACTGTCTTACAGGAATTAATTGCTATTTCTTCAAAAAACTGCACTTCACCCCCTTTGGAAGGCACATTTCTGACACAGGGCTCAGCGAACAGGAGCAGAGCTCACCTGCTGCCCTGCAAGCTCTCTGCGAATTGTCTACACTTCGCAGTGGTGAAACTTTGGTTCAGGCTTTACAACAAACTACAAACAGCATCTTGGCAGTGGAAAGTGTCCAAAAGCATCAGCTACAGCATTACCAGTCTGCTGGAGGGAGCAACATCCCTGCATCCTCTTACCTCAGCCTGCCCTGCAGGATGAAAGGGGCAGGATGCCTGTGAACAAAACCCCCTTATAATGCTTCAAAGATCCATGTGGGAGGGTGAAGTGCTCAAACGCTGTGACAAAACCGCAGCTCTGCCCTGTGGGGACAGCCCCGCTCTGCAGAACATGCCACAGCTGCAGCCCTGCTGCCCAGGCTCCGTGCAGGCAGCTGGGCCAGGCTCTCCTCCGAGCAGCCCCTTTCCCTGCCCTCGCTGGCGAGCTACTAGGGAACAGCCCATCTCCAAGTGCTGGCAACAGCTCAACTATTTTTGCCTTGATACAGTAACAGCAAGACAGGATGGAAGTTCTGCAGCTGCATCATTCATCGGGGGCAGAAATCTAATGAAGAAATTTACTCCTGACAGTCATCAGCCTAGCAAACACTTGGATGCTCACCCTTACTTGCAAGGCATTGAGCATTCAACTTTACATTCAGAGCTTCTTTCCCACCCGAGACTTCCCTTCACTATGCAAGGAACATTCTGCCTTAATTTTTAACTGCAGAGCAAACGAACTTTGCTCTGAACTTTTTAAGATACCGGCCAAGTTTCAGAACCCAAGTGTCATTGCTGAGTTGTTAGCTGCTAGTTTCCCTTACATGCAGCCTCATCAAATATCCGTGTTAGCTGCTAGTTTCCCACCCCTTACATGCAGCCTCATCAAATATCCCTGGCACAACCAGGATTCCTCGGGATCAGGGAAGCAGAGCGCTGCTGCCAGCCAGGTGGAACAGGAGCCAAGCACCAGGAACTGCTCCCCGTCCCCTGGTACTGACCAGCACGGCCAAGCAGGGCTGCCCCAGGGCACGAGATGCTGCAGAGCAGCACCCTGCACAGCTCAGCTCTTGCTGCAGTAACAGGGAGCTTCATCCCAACACACTGGAGGTGGATCTAGGATGGGAATGTTCTATCAGGGCAGAGGAAGCTTTAGGAGATTCAGCTTGTCCAGAGAACAGGGGGGCATAGTCAAGTGTCACCAGTATAGTCAAACAGCTGGTTTGGGACACTTCTAATCCTCAGCTGAGGTCTTGCTCTAGCCCCACGCAGTCCCTCACATAAACCTATTTGGAGCAGAAAACAAAAATAAAAACGGCATCACGTAAAGAGGTGGAAGCAGCTTTTAGTATCAATGTGCAGCTAACATTTCTCTGACTCCAATTGTTCTACACACAAGTCAGGGTCCTGTGCTGAGCATCCACACGCAGGGAGCTCCCAGGAAAGATTTTCCAGTGACTCTCCTGCAAATCAGAAGCCAAAAGCTCCCATCGCACTCAGGCGGGGACAAGTCTCAAGGAGTTGAGCTGCAATATTGGTCTTTTAGTTCTGCATAACAATTTTCCTTAACTAAGCCATTAAGAGGCAGGCTCAAAATACTCATGTAATGCTCAGTAACTGCTTGAGGAGACACTTAGCTCAGCGACAAAACGAGAGTCATGGTTTCTGCCCAGCAAAAGTACAATTGCATCAGAGTTCACCTTAACTCCACCGTTTACATGCCACTGCAATTAAACACAATTAAGCATCCTATCCAGTTAATATAATGGAATTGCATATAATGTTAGGTTCTACCCCAACTACAATTACCCCATGGATGAAACGATCCAGCGTGGCACTATGTCTCCAAGCAGGCTACTTCTAGTGCCAGCCAAAAAGAACTGCTGCCTTAGGTGCCACGTGCAGGAAGGCTGGGGGCTCGTTACGGCCGGGCACATTTGCTTTCCTCTCCAGAGGGTCAGGCTCTGTTCACTTACCCCGGAGAACCCCAGAAAACACTTGGCCCCAGCTCAAACAGTGTCACCTCTACCAGCAAAGGATCCTCAAGGCAGCTACACAGCTGGAAAGCAGGCATCCAGTCCCAAAAGTCAAGCTTAGATACCAAGAGAGCTACCACAGGCCAGGCTGGAGTGTCCTACACTTACTTCCCACCCACAGCAGTAAGCAGCTAAAGCCTTTGTATGACAGGAAGGCCATGAATCACCTTCCCGTGACATACTATAGAAAACAAACTCCTGGGCCAGCTCTTCCCCCTACAGCCGCCCCATTTGTCCCTCTGAGGAGCCAGCTTGGACAAAGTTTCACATCCAGCCGCTCTTCACCTCAAGCAGGTACCAAACACAAGCAGTTACGCACCAGGCTGCAGAGCTCCAAGGCCAAGAGACCAAGATCTCGGTTTTGTTCTTAAACAACTGACAGTTGTCATGTTTGTGTGAAAGACCAGACCCCATGACACCAGTTGAAGGAGTAACACCAGAGGGGATATCTAACAGAAGGCAGACCCATTTGCATGGCTGGGCATAAATTCTCCCCAGTGCTCAGAGGAAGATGATTTTAAGTGGAAGATGAGTTCCACTTCAGTGTATCTAACTGGCTGCCATGCAGCTTGCGGATAGAGCACTCCTAACATGAGACCCAAGCTCTGTCAGAGATGTTCACTTAATAGCTTTTAAAGCATACAGTGATGTGAACCTCATTCCTCCAGCAGTGTTCAGGCATCTTTGCAGTTTTAAAAGCATACAGTGATGCTGAACCTCATTCCTCCAGCAGTGTTCAGAGGGGTTTCCTGTATTGATCTGCAAGGGAACTTGACTCTGCTGAGCTGACCAAGACCGATCCCACCCAACCTGTGCCATCCTCAATCAGCACATTTAGTGTTCCAGGCCTCCTGCACACAGTCTGGCTATCTGTAGAAATAGAAATATACACAGAGGAAGAGCTGGCTTTTAACTAAGTGAGGAAAAGCCTTGGAATTTGTCTTTTGCCTGTCTTCCCAGTAGCGCTTACCTTGTCTCCTTCCTCAACGTCACAAATTTTCTCCAGCGTTGAGGGGTTGTAGGTGGGAAACTTCTTTCCACTTGTTGAGTCGTGCCACTCGTTGTTAATAAATATCTAAATAGAGAGTAAGAGGAAGGGAAGGGGGAAAAAAAACAAAATACTGATACAGGTGACACAAGAAAAAAAAAAAAGTATTCCTCAAAGGTCTGAAGGCTCCTCAGTTTCTACTGATGACAGAGCCAAGCACACTGAGGCTGTGCAATACAGAGAGCATTCAGCGTAACTAGGACCCAAGACAGGGAACAGACCAACAAACAGGGAACAAACAATCTTTATTAGTAATCTAGTCGGTTTTAAGAAGATGACAGAGGATGGAGCCCGCACAGTGTAACGCCATAACCCAGCAATGAGAAACAGACACATTTTCAAATACATCCCCATAGGAACAAGCAGCAGACAGCAAGAGAAGCCCATGCGGGTCAGGCAAAAGGAGCCCCTTGTTACAGGTCACTAAGGGGATGTCAGGGCACAGTATTATTTGGTTGGTAGTACCCTGGGCTATTTCCATGACCCGGGCCCTCAGCACAGGCTCAGTTCTACCCCACTGTGCCCGTCACGGGCAAGATCGAGCCTCCCACGTCACTTGGAGTCGCCTGTGACAAGATTTAAGTGTTTCAAAATATTGCCTTTCCAGAGCAAGAACAAACAGTCCCAGCGTTGCGTAACTGAAAACGCATTAAATTCTAGAGTGTTGTTACTCACTGTAAACAGAACACGAATACCTATATACAAATAATTGATTCAACATGCATCTTATCCACGCTGATCTAACTTGGCAGTGTTAAGTTTTATAAATATAGATATTTTAAAAAAGATTAGATAAAACAATCTTTATTAGTACCCCATTAGCATCTGTAAGTTAGTACTTTTACTTGGAAGTCTTCCATGTTTGCAATCTTGTTTATGAGTCTCTACACACTACAAGGAGATTAAAGCTGCATCCCTTAAATCTAGAATTCCCACTGCTTTGGGTCATAGTTTTCTTTCTTTGGGTGAGTTTTTCCCCCGCCTATTTCTGCAAAAGCATACATGACAAAAACGCAGCATCTGTTCCAGTTACATGCCCACCTGCTTTGGTCAGGCCCAATAGAAAGAAAATTCAGTGTGACAAATTGCAAAATGAAGTCACAAGAAAATTCACAACATTGGGAATATTAAATAACTTGATACTAATACTTCCTAACTACTTATTCCCAAACTTTTCCAACTGCTGCATTTTAATTCTATAGAAAGAAAATATTACATTTTCATTTGTGAAACAAGAGCAAGCTAGAATTAAGAAAGTCACATTATAAATGCAAGAGATTATGTGGACTGTAAAATTACAGAGCTAGATATATACTTACAGATTAAGGATTGGGGGATACCTTTTTCCCAGTGCCTGTATTAAGCATTAGTTAATACAGGGGGTTGAGGTAGGAACACAGTGTCCCTATAACAAGGGCTGGACTGCACAAATGGTGGATGAGACTGCTTTAAATACCAGATAGACAGGCATGATTCTGGGAAACACACTGCTGAGCTTAAGTCTTCAGTATAGGGAGTAAAAAAAAAAAAAAAAAAAAAAAAAAGAAGAAGTTAAAAAAGTACACAATAAGAATAGCTCATCGGCTACTCGTGAGACATGGCCAGAACGCAGGACATTGGACGGTGGACAGATCCCTTCCAGCACAAATCATCTCACAGGTATCAAGCTGCACTGTAAAAAAGACCTGTATGAAGCTGCTGGGAGTCTTCCTTCCTTCTCCCCCTGACCAGTAACTCATAGAACCCAAGAGATCTCCACGAGATAGAGGCAAACCTACCGTCAGCTGTGAACATCTGGTGAAGCTCAGCGCTTGCAGAAAGCCCCTCGCAGCTTTATGAAAACTGACTGCTGCTCGTTGTTCCCCCAGATGCGCTGGGAGCATCAGATCAGATGTCAAACTCACACTTGCAATTAACACTGGTTTCCACTTCTAAACAACTATCGAGATACTTTCAGCACACAGGCTCTGGCTAAACTCCGGAGAATTTAAAAAAGCATGTTTTAACACACATACGGCCGCAGGATCACATCCCAGAGGAGTATTTAAAAATGTTCGCAACAATAAAAATAACACAAAACAGAACATTTGGATGGTTAGGAGCTCCGGGCTGGCCGCGTCCGTGTGGGACGCAGGGAAGGGAGCCATTAGCGCAGCCTTACGCCATTCCGCGGGCAGCAACGGCCGACACGATTCGCTGATAAGCGACAAGTTTATCTTTTTTTAAAAAAAGAAAACGTGAGTAAATTAGGATGCTTGAAATGAATTAGCGGTACTGGACTGGATTCTTAATCACTTTGGGTTTTTCAGGTGCATAATTCAAATCAACACCGTGCTGGAGCGCCTATCCCAGCTATCGCTGTTTACTCCTTCGCACTGCAAGGGAAGGGAGTTCAAGGTCGATGTCTTTTTATGCACAAAAAGAAAAAATCAGTATTTCACAGGCTCCCCACCAGCCCTTTTGGCCTGGCCGCATCGCTCAAATTGTGGCAATCGGGGTGCAACCAGCCGGGTATTTTCCGCATGCACCAGGCCAGGCTCTCATGGCTAGCAGG